ACTTTTCTGTCTCCTTTTCTACCTTATTTTTTTTTTAAGGATTTTAATTATCTGAGAGAGAGACTGAGAATGTATGAGTGTGAGGAAGGGTGGAGGGAGAGGGAGAAACAGACTTCCTAGTGAGCAGGGAGCCTGATGTGGAGCTCAAATCCAGGAATCCGAGATCATGACCTAAGCCAAAGTAGGACACTTAACTGAACTGAGCCACCCAGGCATCTCTCTACCTTATTTAGATTAATATTCTTCTTTTTTTACAAAAGATTTTTTTTATTTATTTAAGAGAGAGAGAGTGTGTGAGAGAAAGCACAAGTGCAGTGAAGGACAGAGTAAGAGGGAGAGGAAAAGCATACTCCCTGCTGAGCAGGGAGCCTGCCATGAGTCTTGATTCCAGGACCCGAGGATCATGACCTGAGCCGAAGGCAGCCGCTTAACTGACTGAGCCACCCAGGCACCCCTAGATTAATATTCTTAATTTTATTTTTTACTCTACTATTTTGGAAATACTGCTTTTATTTTAGTGATTATCCTTAAAATTCTAACAAATTTACTTAATATTTAAAATTATTCAATATCTTTACTCCTTCCCAAAGAATATTAAATTATATCTTATTTTCATTATCTCACTGTTATGGGGAAATAAGGGAAGATGTGTAACTCCCCTATGATCATTTTAATTCCAATGACTTCCCACCCATTTATTTCATATTATTGTTGTAGAATGACTTAGTTTTACTCTTTTAATCTCCCCAAATTCAATATTATTATTGTTTATTCAATCAACTCTTTTCAGATTGACCACAGTATTCACTAAATTATTTGTTATCGTTTTTCTTGTATCTAAGGCCTTCCTTTTAAGATCAACACTATTATCTGTAAAGCACATTCTTTAGATTTTTGTTTAGTGTTGATCTATCCATTTGTGGATTTTTTTTTGGTCTGTTAAAGCCATTTTTACTCCCAAAGATGTCTTTATTTTGCCCCCATTTGGGAATGATAATTTAGCAGGTTATACAATTACAAGTTAACAGTTAAGTCCCCATAAAGTTCTCAACAGTTTAAATTAGGAACAGTTTAATTAATTAAATTAGGAACAGTTTAATTTATTATCTAGGCCTAGGATTTGCAACACAAAGGAAGTACTGTTTATTTAAACCCACAGAAAGGCAGCCTTATAATTATAGTTTCTCAAGGAAGCCTTCTAATTTTATTTTTTCACCAGATATGTGGCCTGAGACAAACATTTTCTTCTTAATCCTCTTTGTCAGCAGATAGATTTCTCTCGTAGTCTGTCCTTTTACTGGGAGTGAAGTCTGGGAGGCTCTTCTCTTCAGGGAGTCTCAATTTTGCTTTACCATTTCCCACCCTTTAAAGCCTTGCCTCCTATTCCTCTGTGCAATCATTAAAACCAAGCATACTATTTGATTTCATTATGTGACATCAAGAAGAGAGAAAACTAATCTATGGAGATACAAGTCAGAATAATGATTATCTTTGGTAGGTACTGACTGGAGATAGGCATGATAGAGCCTTCTAAGATTTTGGAAATGTTTTAAATGTTGATCTATATAGTAGTATATGTAAAACTACATAGTTAGTAGTAAGACTACTTACTATGTAGTTTTACATACACTTATGTAAAAATTTACATATACATATGTAAAAAATTTTACATATACATATGTAAAAATTCAACAGAAAAATTAAACAGATCATACACTTAAGATCTGTGCACTTTACCATCTATAAGCTATGTAGAATTTTTAAAAACACAAACACAAGGTTCTAAGTTTCTGTTATTGGCAGATATTACCAATTTCTCTTACTTTTTTGGAGATCAACCATGCACATAAAATAGTTCTGGTTATATTTTAACAAGACTCTGTGTTTGTATCTAGTTTTTCAGAATATTCAGCCTAGCATCATGTTGAATGTGTGAGTCACATGCTACTCTTTCAATTCTGATATTCTGATACTATTTTTGGCAACTTTAGTAAAGTATCACTTAAATATTCCAGCTGGATCTGCCAAAGTTCAGGCTTTGTCTCTGCTATGCTGTGTGGAAGTAAGAAAAGTCATGTGAGTCTCCCATGAGAATATTAATGGTGGAGATGGTACTTTAGAGGGCAATATGTGGTGGCCGTAGTAATTACTGTGATTTCCTAGGGAAAGTACATCCTTCAGGCTAGACTCAGGCTTCAGATATCTACTTACCCCTTCCAAGTGGAAACTGTCCCTACTCTTGGGCCACTCAGGGAGGATAGAAGTCTATTTTGAAAGGATTCAGCTAAACATTTTCCACCCCTCTATCCCCTTCTCTCTTCTCCAAAGTTGAGAATTCATGTATAAATGAATTTGTATCCTTTCAAAAGATATGTTGAAGTCCTAACCTCCAGTATCTCAGAATGTGATCTTATTTGGAAATAGGATCATTGTAGATATAATTAGTTAGGACTAGGTCGTGGGGGATTTGGGTGGGTCCATAATGTGGCTGGTTTAGTTATAAGAAGAGGAAGAGAAACACAGAGGGAACATTGCTATTGACTGAATTGTGTCATCCTTTAAAATGCATTTGTGCCCAATGTGTTGGCATTTGGAGATGGAACCCTTGGGAGATAATTAGGTTTAGATGAGATTATGAGGGTAGGGACCTCATGATGAACTTAGTACCCTCATTAGAGAGGGAGATACCACAACTTGCTCTCTCTACTATGTAAGGACATGGCAAGAAGTCCAAACCAGGAATAGATCTCTCTCTAGAACCTGACCATGCTGGTACTTATCTCAGACTCCCAGCCTCCAGAGCTGTGAGAAAATAAATTTCTGTTGTTTAAGTTGTCAAATTTATGGTATCCTGTTATGGCAGCCCAAGCTGACTCATATAAACACCATGTAATGACAGAAGCAGAGATTGGAGTAATGCACCTACAAGCCAAGGAATTCCAATGATTGATAGCCATCAGCAGAACCTAGGGAAAGGAAAGGACAGATTCTATCCATAGTCTCAGATGAAGCATGGCTGTGCTGACACCTTGATTTTGGATTTCTAGTCTCCAGAACAGTGAGAGAATGAATTTCTGTTGTTTTAAACCACCTGTTTTGGTGTACTCTGTTAGAGCAGCCCTGGGAAACCAGTACAGGGTAATCGCAGGGTTGGTGGAGGAATGCTGGAAATCGGCAGATGACTCAAAGTCTTTCTTAGCCTTCTCTCAAGTCATAAGCTGTGGCTAGGAGCCCCTGAGATCTGAAGATTAGCCTGAAATTTAGATAGACCCATCCCCAAATTATTATATAAGGCATGGAAAGGAATTCAATTTTCCATAGATAAGTTTCCATCTAACATTTTCAGAATCCATCTGTTATATAAAACGAAGTGTATTTTGGTTTTATTAGGCCAAAATTCCTGCTAGGAATTGGGTTGTGATTTTCTTGCACAAAACATTTCATTTAACAGTCTACCTGGTGAATGGGGAGCAGTTGTGAGCTACAATGCTCTGTACGATGGGAAATATTGCAAAATGAGCAAGGACAAACTGGGGAATGGAGGAAAAACAGTTCTTTCTATTTTTTGTTCAGGGAAATTTTTTTTTCAGGGAAATATTTAAAGCCTCAGGCATTGCAGTACCTTTCAAGTGAGGGATATGCATCTATTTATAATATTTTTCAGGGATCAGGAGAACGCACATAAAACCTTTGAAATTGTGTGTGAATAAACGTCTTTGTGAACATATGGCAAGGGAGTGTGATCCTGTTAAACACTTGCTGTGTTTGGCAGGAGCAGAGAGCTAGAATGCCTGCTCACTTAGTTCTTCCCACCCCCTCAGATGTGAGTCTTAGCAGGTGGGAGGATCTGGTGCATGCTTCCTGAGGTCCATGCATGAAGGACAAACTATAGCTATAGCCAGTTTTGTCTAGTGCCAAAGCAATATCAGGACACATGTAGAGGGTATTTTGCTTCAACGGTGGAGCCTGGAAAATGTGTGGAAGATGCACGGTGCCCTTTTAGTTACTGAGGAAAACTGCATTGGTGTTTTACAGGGCTCTCTCAGTAGCTATGGACTCTGCATTTCAGTTAGATGCCACATGCCCAGTCCAGCCTTCCTCCACACTCTCTTTGGCCTCTCCACCCTTGATAACCAGCTTTAAAACAAGTGCAGCTTTAGGAATTGAAGTGCCTGTGGCCCAAAACCCACCCCCAGACCTGGGAAGGCTCGTAGGCACATGCTGTTTCTTTTGTACTGGATATTTCTCATACCTCTGCTGGCTCACCCTTCAAGGCTCACTTGTATATGACCTTCAGGGATGACTCACTAACCATCGTGTTCTTCTTAGGGTCAGAATTTTGTGCATTTGTAGTTATTCACTTAATTTTATGGATCACCATTGTTTAATACCTGTCCTCACCAGATTGTATGAGGTTCTTTTTTGTTCACTCTAGTTTTCCTAGAGCCTATAGAATGTTTGACCCATAGTAGGCATTTGATAAATATTGTTGAATCAACGGAAGTTCAGTATCTTTCTACATGAAAATTTGCTACCTTATAGTTCATTCAAAAAGAAAGAAAAAGAAGAGGAGTGATATGGTGAAGGAAACTTTAAAAACATGTCTGCAGGGGCGCCTGGGTGGCTCAGCGGGTTAAAGCCTCTGCCTTCGGCTCAGGTCATGATCCCAGGGTCCTGGGATGGAGCCCCACATTGGGCTCTCTGCTCAGCAGGGAGCCTGCTTCCCTTCTTCTCTCTCTGCCTACCTGTGATCTCTATCAAATAAATAAAACCTTAAAAAAAAATGTCTGCAGATTTCTCATTTTCAAAGAGTTCCTTCACATTAAGAAAAAAAAAAAAGGAGGAAAGGAAAGAAGGAAAACAACTCAATGGAAAATGGGCAAAGGATAAAAGAATTTAATTAACAGAATTTCAGATAGCTAATAAATATACAAAAAGATGCTCACCTAGACTAGTAATCCTAGAAATGAAAATTAAGAACAATATTTTATACCCTCAGATTGGCAAAAGTGCAAAATATTGATTAACATTTCTTGTTAGCAAGGGTTTAGGGAATAGGATGCTCTCATACACCGTTGGTAGTTCAAAACTGTGCAACCTGTATGGAGAACATTGGTTGTATTTTTAAAATTTAAACTATGTCTACATTTATTATTTAATAGGGAAAATTTGGAAAGCACTTGACCTCATACAATAGTGAAATGATTTTAAAAATTTAGTGCATTCCTGCCACAGAATTCCTTAGCTATAAATATTAACAGCAATGAAAATCTATGTAAAATATTTTTTTAAAAAGAGATTGCAGTGGCACATGGGTGGCTCAGTCTTTGGGCATCTGACTTCTGGTCGGGTCATGGTTCTGGAATCCTGGGATGGAGTCCCCCATGGGGCTTCCTGCTCGGTGGGAGGCCTGCTTCTCCCTCTCCCACTCCTCCTGCTTGTGTTCCCAATCTCGATGTGTCTCTCTCTGTCAAATAAATCAATAAAATCATTTTTAAAACAAGGACATTGCAAAACAATACATGTAATATGATCCCAACTGAGTAAAAATATATAAAAGCATATGCTCTGAAGGAAAAGATCTCAAATGATTCACACTATGTATACTTATATTTTTTTAAAGATTTTATTTATCTATTTGAGAAAGAGAGTAAGAGAGAGGACATGAGCAGGGAAAGGGAGAAAGAGAAGCAGACTCCCCACTGAGCTTGATCCCAGGACTCGGGGATCATGACCTGAGCAGAAGGCAGACACTTAAACAACTGAGCCACCCAGGTGTCCTTATAATTACAATAACTTAATTATAAGGTCCTTTGAGAACTTTTCCCCTGAGTAACTAAGAATGGGATTTTAATGTTTTCAATGAACCTGTACTGCTATTTTTAAAAGAACTTTAAGTATGATTGACATAAACTACACGTATTCAAAGTATCCATTTGTTTTGACATTGTATACATCTGTGAAACCATCACCACAATTAAGAGAATATCCATCACCCCCAAAAGCTTCCTTATGTGTCCCTGTAGTCTGTCCTTACTGACTCTTCCTAAACTAACCCGTCTCCTAGCAACTACTGAGCTACTTTCTGTCACTATAGACTAGTTTGCATTTTTTAGAATGCTATATAAATGTAATCTTACAGTACTACTCTTTTTTTTTTCTGGCTTCTTTCAGCATAATTATTTTGAGATTCATCCATGTTGTCACGTGTATCAATGGTTTATTCATTTTTAGTGCTGAGTAGTATTCCATTGCATGGGTCTATCACAACTGATTTATCCATTCATCTTTCGATGGACATTTGGACTAGTTCTGGCTTTTGGCTATTACAAATAAAGGTGCTACGAACAGCCATTTATGTTTTTGTAAAAGACCTATGCTTTACCTCCACTAACTAGCAGTGGAATGGCATAAGTTAGGTGTATGTTTAGCATTTAATAAGTTGCCAAAACCTTCCCAAAATGGTTGTACCATTTTACATTCCCACGAGAGACGGAGTATGGAGTTGTGGGCACTAAATGAGTGGTCCCTTCACCAAGACCTTTGGTAATGACAGCAACCATCAGCTCACTGCACAGGTTCAATCAGCTTACCAGGCTAAAATGAGTCTGGTCCTTTTTAATCACAGATACCTTTGAGAATTTGATTAAGGTCATGGTCCATGCGGCGCACAGGACGACACACACACAAATGCCAGGCAGGAATCATCCACGTGGGAAATGACGATGGCTTGAACATTGTGACACTGTGACGGCGGGAGTTCGAACACATTGAGAAGTTACCATTGTTGAGACTTGATAAGAGGAGGAGAGAAGATAATGCCCAGGTTAGAAAGATTAGGTGATGGGGGCGACAACACAGGGTAGGAGTAGGTCTAGAGGGAGGAAGAAGCGGTCATTTCTGGCTTTCTGCATGTGATGTGCCTAGGAGATACACGCCGTTCGCAAAGTGGTTGTAACTGGACCTCGTCCAGGCGGAGATACAGATTTCTGTGCAACAACATACAGGTTTAGCGGAAGTATGAGGAGCAGCTGCAATCACCACGTGTAGCTAATAAATTCGTATCTTCAAAAAAAAAAAAAAATCACTTCCACACCTGGCTAAAACACGCCTAACTCGTCGGAAGGATCTACAAATCCCCTACCAGAAGATGCGCAACAACACCGATCTTTCTGACGAAACCCCGCCCAGCTCAATTCTGCGCATGCGCCGGACGCGTGCGCAAGACCCTCCCTGCGGCCGCTCCTTTTTCTGGGAGTCTGGGTTCCTTCCCTATCGCCTGCCCCGCCCAGGCGGCTGCCCGTGACCTGCCGGGGCGCAGGGAACGGAAAGCCGGAAGGGGCAAGACGAGTTCGGTTCGCCATGGGGCTGTTTGGGAAAACCCAGGAGAAGCCGCCCAAAGAGCTGGTAAGGGATACGGGGATGGCAAAAGAGTCGGGGGATTTGCGTGGGGCGTAGTGGAGTTCGTAAGCGACTGGCCACTCTCCCTCCCCGCTGGCCGCGTTCCGCTCGGCCCCCATTTCCGGGGCCTTCCACTCCACCGAGGGGCCAGAGGAGGAATCTCTAAGGAGGCGGCTGTGGCTAAAGAAAGCCCTGCTCCGTCAGAAATCCACAGAGGGGCCGAGGGCCGGATAAAGAGTTTCGGAGCCCCGGCACCGGGCGCGGAGGTAGCCTGGCGGTCCTGGCCGCTGGAAAGCCTTTCCCCTGCGCGCGTTGGTACGTCCCGCCCGGAACCTTTCCCTGGCCGACGCCCCGCCCCTAATGCCAGCCTCCAGACAGTTGGCAGACCTGCCCGTAGCCCGAGAGTTGTCCCCAGGGAGCCCTGCCACCGCCGCCCCTTCCCTCTAACCTGCTGTGTTAAGTGGGAGGGTCTCCTTCCTTTTTCCTCTTTCCCTGCGCTACAACATGATGTTGACTGCAGGCACGTTAATTATAGTAAGGACCCGACTAGTGGGAATGGTACTAAAGCTAACTCAGGACCTGGCTTCGAATTCAGCCTCTACCTGTAAACTGAGATAATGGTGTAGTGTAGCGGTTCAGTGCCCCGCAGAGTCAGTTTTCCTGTTTGAATCCTGGTTCCCCAGGATTGTCATCTGAGGAAAGTTCATTTCTTTGTGCCTTAGTTTTGTCGAGTAGAAATGATGAAAGTTTCACTTCAGAGTCATGGAAGATGAAAAAAAAAAACTGTAAAGTTTTGTTAAGTTTTTTAGTAGTGCTAGTTAGGGTTAATTCTTTTTATTAACTGAAGACTGCAGACCAGCCTCGTCAGCATCACCTGGCAGCTAGTTAGAAATCTGAGGCCCTGCACAAGAGCTTTTTAACCATAATTTGAATTCTAACAAGATCTTCACTGATTTTTGTGAACGCTAAAGTTTGAGAAGCATTGCTTTACAACACCCAGTACAAATTTACCCATAATGAAGGGGAAAAAAAAACCCAAAATCCTGTATTTAATTAATGATCTTACCTGTGCAGCTTTTGCAGGCATGTTTTTAACCCACTGAGCCATCCAGGCGCCCCTGCGGGCATGTTTTTAAAAAGCAATGTCCTACATCATGAAGTTGCTTACACATAATGTGTGTTAATGATGGTTATATTTGTTAACCATAGGTCCTAGAACACTACATGCTCTATAAATGTTAATTTCTGTAGGCAACTTACTCAGTTTTACTCCCTGGTAAAATAAGAATTGTGGAGCTGAAATAGGTAAGAGCGTGTGACATTTTGTAAGCTGTAGAGCATTCTACAGATGCACATTTTGTAGTGTGTGTGTATTCAAAGATGCTGTTATTGTAGAAGTGTATTTTTGATGTTAGGGAAAGATTATTTTCCTCCAGTGTTTGACCTTAGCTTTGCCATTCATAAAACAAGATTCTGGGAAAACCGTTCCATTACTGTTTAAACTGATCTTTTGTATATATGTTTCTTGTATAACACTTGGGGTATTTTTAAATGCTAAGAACATGTCAGAATACCTTCCAGTATGGCATCCTACCTAGGAAAGTGAGTCAACAACCAGAACATTTTAGGGTTTATGCATGAGATTGGTTTTTAAAATAATGCCGGTCAGGGGGCACCTAGTGGCACAGTCAGTTGGGCATCCAGCTTGGTTTCTGCTCAGATTGTGATCTTGTGGGTCATGAAATCGAGCCTCATGCAGGACTCTGCTCTCCGTGTGGAGTTGTCTTGGGTTTCTCTGTGCTTGGGTTTCTCTCTCCCTCTACTCTCTCTCTCTCTCATAAATAAATATATCTTTAAAAAAAATATATGCCCACCAGTGGGATTTCACTAAAGATGAAATAAACACCGAAGGAATGTATCATCTAGCAAGTAAGATAAGCATTTCAAGAACAAGTCTGGATTGGGTACTATATAAACGGTTACAGGAGCTCAGAGGTTGGAGTGATCACTCCCAGACTGGGATGTTCAGAAATGATTTGGCCCTTTACTATCATTTTTTCCACACATCACCTTCCTATGAATTGTTCTTGACTATTTATAGGATTTTTAGTATTATTTAATTGGTGGTCAAATATTCCTAAAGCCAATGGTCTTAAGATGAACAGTGTTTCAAGGGATATATCAAGGAGACATTATAGCTACTTAAGGAGCCTTACAGACAAAAGTTATTGCCCCCAGGCATCCCTGATGCATTGATGGAGACTTTTTAGTGGTGAAACTTGTTCTACCTTAAAGTGCCCATTTGATGAGTAGATTGGGCCTGCTAAGGATGAAGGAGCCTTGTAATTTAGTTAGAAACCTGTGACTATGTTGTGATGGGAATCAAGAGGACATGAGATTGTGTTGGAAAGAGATTTTTCTGTTGGACTTAAGGTACTGCTGGAAAATTGTGCTATCCTTACACAGGGATTTCGCTGATTTACCCTTTGGATAGAGTAGTACAGTCAAGGCATCAGAATTCCTAAATCCTATGACTAACTTATATCCTTAAACTAAGTCTCATGGTTGTGGGTTGTTGTCAGAAAAAAAGGATGAGACAGGGAGATGAAGAGAAGGGTTGTTTTACTTAGTTCATACAATAAACATTTATTGAGATATTTTCATGTGTATTGGGTTGGATACCAGGTTTTCAAAATAAGACACTGGATTACAACATCAAAGAATAACAAGTTTACTGGGGGAGACTGGCATGTGAATAAATACTCTTATTTTAGAGTAAATAAGGGCAATGATGTAAGTGTATACAAGATCTGTGATATCACAGTGGGGAGAGTGATTAACTGTTCATTGCGGGGAAGAAGACCTGATCAGGGAGGGTTTCTAGATCTTATCACAAGATCAGATGGATGATTAGAAAAGAGGGGGCATCCCAAGGAAAGTAAACTGCATGTGCAAGGCATGGAAGTGTGGAACATAGATTGGAGGAACCAGAAAGAACTCAGGTGTGGTTAGAGGATGAAATAACTGAATGGGATGCAGGGGGAAGTGATGGCAGTGTCAAATATAAAATTGCAGAGGTAGATAGAGGGTAGATTAGCAAAATCCTGTGAGTCATACCCACTAGAGATGGGAGCATTCAGAATAGTGGTTTGGAGCAAGAATTGGAGGGAAGAGAATTAGGTATGGGGGTCAGTTTGTGGTCCAGGTGAGAGATGAAGCTGGTCTTAACCAGTAGTGGAAATATGGGGATAGAGAGGATGGATTTTAGAAATATTTAGGATGTGGTCGGAATTTGCTGATCTACTGGGTGTGGAGTAAGAGTGCAAAGCTGTCTTAGGGTTGAGTGGAGGTGAGTTTAAACAGCAACCCATTATTCCCCTCAGTTTGTTACCATGAACTGAAAATAGGAGAATTCAGGAAGACAGCAGGTTTAATGGGATACTGATGGTGGAGGGGAAGGAACCACAGTGTCCAGTTTTGGAGAGAATTCAGGATATCAAGGAAAACAGAGAAAAGGTTATCCTGGGAGAATATTTTTCTACTTGTGTCCGCTCAGCAAAATTGTAAGCTTCTTGAGAGCAAGTATCATGTTTTTATCATTCACTGAGTCAGCGTAGTGTTGAATTCCCTTAACAAGAGTAAGGTGCCTATCAGATATTTGCTTGATGAACAGAAGTAGAGGTAATGAGAGAACAGTTACATATTTGAAGTACAGCCCACTTGTCCTTTTGTATATCCATCTGACAGTGATCACAGTAGGCACATTTTGACCTAAGTTCAGTTATTTGTTCCTTTTGGTGAATTTCTAGTTATATGTATGTTTTAAATCTTGAAGAATATACAGAATCCCAGTTTACAGACATCACCTTTAGGAAGAGGTGCTAGGAAGCTAAGGGTCAAAAGTAGGGGGGAACTTAGTTTTCACTATATATACATATATATATATGTATATATATGCCTGTTTTAGTTTGCTCAGGCTGCTGTAACAAAATATTATTGACTACACTAGATAGCTTATACCCAATAGAAACTTATTTCTCACAGTTCTGGAAACTAAGAAGTCTTAAGACCAAGGTACCCAGCGATTCAGTGTCTGGTGAGGACATGATTCTTAATTATAGATGGCTGTCTTTTCACTGTGTCTTCATGGCAGAAGGAGGAATCAGGCTTTCTGGGGTTGCTTTTCTAAGGTCACTAAACTCATTCATGAGGGCTTGGCACTCATGACCCAGTCACTTCCATAAGGCCTGGTATCCAAATACTATCACATTGGGGATTAGGTTTTAATATAGGAATTTTGGGGAGACATAAACATTCTGTCTGTAGCAGTGTGATTAGAATCTCCTAGCCTGGGACCTGGAATCAGCCATTTCTCTAAGGAGCACTGGTTTCTTTTAGAGGGAATGGTATTTAGAAACCAAAATTTAGGTGTTTATGGTACTTAATGCTACTGGAGTGTTCTTGCTTCTAGGCCTTTTAATTGGACAGAACTAAGAAATCATCCTTTAAAAAACACATGAGGTGATTAGAGACAAGGTTGTTTGGAACCAGCCCTTCTGCCAAATAGAACTAGAAGAGCTAGATAAAAAGCCTAACTATTTGTAATCACTTAAAATTATCAAAGCAGTGAAGAATTGCAAAATCAAAATCCCAGAAAAAAAGGAAAGCTCGATTACATGAGCCCAGTCATTTGGGACCACTTTCCCACTAAAGAGATCCTCTAATTCCTAATGCAGTGGTTAAGAAACTGAGAATTTGAGTGGAGTTCTTCA